CCCAGTCTGCAGCGGGCTGAGCCCGACAAGAGAGCTGGGGACGTTCGGGTCTAGTTGGGAAAGACGGGGGTCCCTATTCTTGAGAGTGTTCAGTCGTCCCCTTCCCCTATGCCTGCGGGGCAGGCGGCTAAGGTTTTGGGTAACAAACCCCTTCCCGGAGCTAAAGGGTCCCTTCAACGGTTAAGCCAGGGCAGTCACTGAAGTCAAAATCGGTTTGTAGTTTCTTGGGGTGCGGGTGCCTGCTCTACTCCCAGAAAGTCGTTCCCCACCCCACCCCGTGCTCGGGTCCGGAGGACAAAGGTCTAGCGATGTCTGTCCCCTCCCCCAGTGAGGACAGCCGGGAAAGACCTGCCTCTTGTGTACAGGTGAGCGTCTTGTTCCCCACGAGGCATCTTTCTTAAAACAGACCTGACTTTTCGTTTTGCCATCCTCTCCCCTCTGTGTTTAAAAAGAGTAAACACAAAAGTTTGACAGTCTGCTTAAGGACGTCTGGTAACTCGTTTATCACTGTAGGCATGGGAAATACTCTTCTTAAACCTGATTTGGCTAGGAGTCGGTTAATTTAATGCGATAAGCGGCTTTGTAAAAGATGCTTGACAAATGGCAACTTCTGGCTTTCAGATGTAATCAGACTGGCTTTTGTTTTATAAAGAAATTTAAGAAGGGAAGAGGGCTCCTTTGCCATTCCCCTTTTGCCTCTAAATCGGAAAGCTTACCTGGTATGACTGAAGTCTTAAGCACCAATATTTAATGATATTTATAAACGACGTATGGATAAACTGCCTTTAAATGTGAAGATGAATGACATTTTGAAAGTTTCTTCTGCCCACGCTGATGGTGTAGCTTGGTGTTACTTTCACAATTTCTTGCCTGGTTTTGATGATCAAAGACACAGATTCTAGCGTTAGAGAATGAAGACAAAGTCTTAGGATCCAAGTCTTCCAAATGTTTAAATTGAACGTACTGCTACTTTCGAAGTATAGGTATTCATTATCCTAAGAGATTTAAATATATTGTGTTTTGAATTTGAAAGTTTGGTGAAAAGTAATGAAGCCAATTTGTATTACAAAGATGTTTTCCCAATTACAGTGTAGCACCCTCTGGCAAAGTGATAGCAAAAATACTGTTAACCATTTTTTTAAAAGAAGAGAGGGTGGCTTATGGAGCTAAGGGCAGGGCAATGTTTTGAAAACTGAAGATGAAACAGTATGAACTAATGTCAGGTGTTCTAAGGCTAGGGGGAATAATCATTTGGAGGGAAAGTGTGGAAGAAAAGATAATTGTGGAAGGGAAGCTGCAGGGGCAAGAATATTACAGTTACTTTTAGTTAAGAAAAAATAACCGAAGACTAATAGAAACAAGAATACTGAATTTCTTCTTTTAAAATGTGAAATATACCCATTTGCATATATGATTAGTAAACTTATTTCTTGATGGATGGTTTCAAAATTTAACACAATTCCATTTGTGTGGTTGGGAGCTATCTTTTTCCACTAAAATTAATAAATAAAACACCTTGAGAAAATGGATTGAGTTCCACTCATAACAGTAAGTAAAATAATGATTTTAATGCTGTTGAAAATGCATTAAGTTAACCTAACCTCTAGATTTTTCTATTCAGAGCTTTCATAGAAAGACCTTATTCAATCTAAGTGTTTCTCTTCCATTTTCAACTTCCACTTTCTTAATTGTAACGTTGCAGTTGTCCTCAGTTTTGTTTTTTACATTTTGAATTGGTTTCTGTTAATGTAACTGCCTACATAACCAGTTCACTATGAAGTAATCTTAAATATAACATGGGACAATTATGGTATTAAAAACAAATTCAGAACATGTATCAAAAATACCAGAGGCTCTAAATTTCATTGATTTTAATCTTTAGCTATTTTAAAGAGTTTAAAGTCACCAGTTCCTGGCTTTTCCATTAAACCAAACAATTAAGTTCAATAAACAGAGGCACAGATTCTAAATAGTAGTGTTTTTAAAATCCTGCGTTTCTAAGTAGAAACTAACTTAATTGGAGTAGGAGAATGTTTTTAACATTTAGACTAAAAGTGGAAACATGAATACAAAAAGTTTCTCCCCCAATTTTTTTTTTTAGCATCTCAGGATCTGTTAGTCAACTCTTTACTATTACCATTAGTTTACCAAGGCAAGAAACCTCTGAAGGGTCAGACACAGTGCCCACTGGATTAATAAAATGTATATGATGAAAAGAAAATAGGCTTCGATAAATTATTTTTAATAGAATATTCCTTCCTTAGACCCAAGAGAATTTTGAAACCATAATTGGGAAAAACGTTGGAGTTTGGAATCATTGCAGTGTTTTTATACTGTAATGAAAATGGTTTAAGAATATAGAGTTTGCTTAGAAAACAAAAGTTTAGCTAGACTAACAACAGGCTTTACATTGAATACTATGGCCTCTAAATTTAATTGCATTCATTCCTATTACAGACACTTATTGAACACCTACCCTATGTCCAACACTATACAAGTTGCTTTGGAAAATAATGACAAAATCTCAACCTAGAAAGGGCCCAGTAATCATATGTAAACATAGAATGTATTTTTCCTTGACTTGACTAGTATGTGATCAAGAAGCAAGCTGGAAACAACTAGAAACACATGCAGGAGAAATTAGATAAGTTGATGAACAGTGTGGAGCCACCATTATTCAAATGGAGAATGGGAGACTTCTTCTAGCCAGGTTCTAAATAGTGATGGATGTGACTTTGTGAAAAGAGTGTGGAATGACATTAGTTTAGTGACAGGGCAGCCCAGGCATAGGGACAATATGCAGAGAATAATAAGAAAAATTATCCTAACTAGTTCCTGTGGGCAGATGTTAAGAAAAAAAGAGTTGAATTGGATATGAGGTATGGCAAGGGTATAGGGATAACAATATCTAACACTGCAAAGTACTGTGCTTTGTGCTGTACATACTGAATTTATCAAAGATCTTCGTTACACTTAAAAAACTCAAACTAGTTTGAGTAATAAAGGAAATCTATAGACTTATATCCAGAAAGTCCAGGGGTGCATCTGGCTTTAGGCAAGGTCAAGTCAAGAGACTAAATTATGTCATTAGGGTGCTGTCTCTTCCAGTCTCAACAGTTAGCTGTGGCCAGAAAGGCATGCTAATCTGATGAGGTCTGGTTGTGGTCTACTAACTAGAACCAGAGGATATGGGCAAGAGGTGATTCTTCAAAGAAATAGTGGGTACTTGTACAAAATAGGTCCAGTATGCATGCCATATCTCACTTACAAATTTCTTAACTCATGTTATTATTTTTATGGTCCCCATTATGTACAGGATAAACTAGAGCAGGAACAGTTTTAGGTAAACCAGGAAGAATTTACTATAGTTAATTAGGTATTATGAAAATAAAAGGGCATTGACCAGAATGGTGAAAGAGATGTTAGAGAGGAGGGAAGGGAAGGGTCAAATCAAATATTAGAAGACAACAGTTTGATGACTGATTGGACATGGGAACAAAGGAGAAAATTGATGAATCCAAGTTCAAACTTAGTTTTTTTATAATGCTGGTACAATCACTTCAAATGTAGAGATGATGAAGGGTTATTCATGAGCTCCTGTTGGGTCTGAGGGCCCAAGGATTGCGGAAGCGATGAGTCAGCCTAAGTTCTCTGGAGCCTCTTTTAGTTACACTAAAAGGTATATTCATTCAATAATTATTTGTGAGCTGCAGATAAGGATCTATTTTACACCTGTGAAGATCACAAAGATGAAGGCTATGCTCTCAGACTTGAAGCTACAGCCTAATCACAGGAATAAGGCAAGTATTTTAATAACCGAAACATGCAATAGCATATAAGCATTTCTAGAATAATGCAAATAAAATTAGAGTTTAGAGAAAAGAATGAGTTCGTCTGTTCGGAGAAGAGGGAAGGAGAGAAGGCTCCCTGAAGAAGTCATTTCAGCTCCACCTTAAAGCTTGGGTTGAGTGTCAGCTAGAAGGATAGTAGAGGGAGGGTGGTCCAGGCTGAGTACTAGCATAAGCAGAAAATGGTAGAATACCATTTAGAATAGATTCGGGGAACAGTGGGTTACCCTGTTTGACCCCAAAATGGGAGATGTGAGAGAATAGGCTGGAAAGGTAAAATAAAGTCAAAACGTGGAGGCTGTTGTGTAGGAAACAATATGAAGATACAGTAGTCCCTGATGATTTTTGGAACAGGGAAATGACTTGCATTATTTCCATGCTCTAAGATCTAGTCAGGCAAGAGAGTGTGGTACAATACGTTTTAAATTATCTATCTAACATGGCTTGCATTATCCTTTTTGGACTTGAATTCTAGCTAGAACATTTTACTATATACCCAGCAGAATATTAAACCACAAGCCTGAAAGTAAACAGTTTGTAGCAAGTGGAAATTGTTCAACTTGAGTTAATGTCTTTTCATTTTAACTTTTAATTAGCATTTCTGTTAAGTCCTAAGCTCTTAATCATGAGTGAACTCAGGACACCATAAAATATGTTATTTCCATATTTTAGCAAAAGAACTGATCCTGTAAGTAACCATCTGCTTGGTGTAATTTTACTAAAGAGAGAAAAAAAATACACAAAAATAATAGCATCTCCCCAAACAGAACCCTCATTTTAACAAGGTCCCCCTAAGTGATTCATATGTATGATGGTTAACTAAGTGTCAACTTGACTGGGCTAAGAGTTGCCCAGATAGCTGGTAAAACATTTCGAGGCAAGTCTGTGAAGGTGTTTCAAGAAGAAAATAGCATTTGCATTGGTAGACTGAGTAAAGATCACCCTCACCAATGTGGATGGGCATCGTCCAACGCGTTGAGGACCTGAATAGGATAGAAAGTTAGGGGAAGGTCAAATTTGCTCTCTGAGCAGGGACATCCATCTTTTGCTCTTGGACATTGGTGCTCCTGGTTCTCAGCCTTTGAACTTGGACTGAATTATACCACCTGCTTTCCTGATCCTCCAGCTTGCAGAAACAGATTGTGGGGCTTCTTGGCCTCCATGATTGCTTGAATCAATTTCTATAATAAATTTATCTATCTATCTATCTATCTATCTATCTATCTATCTATCTATCCATCCAGATGTTTGGTTTCTTTGGAGAACCCTGACTAACACAATAGGCATATTAAAATTAAGTGGCAGATTAGAGGATAATTAGAGAATTCTAGAATTAAAGTGTTTTAAGATCCTCTCATTGCCTGGGAAAAGGGTAAAGTTCTAGGATTAACATTGTCTTTTGATTAGTCAAGAATACCTGTTGTCATATTAGTCAAGAATACCTGTTGTTATATAAATTCCATTTATATGAAATTCTCAAAAATGCAAACTATAGTGATAGGAAACAGATTGGTGGTTTTTGGAGGTAGAGGAGAGGACTGACTTCAGGGGCATGAGGGAATTTTTCAGAATGATGAAAACATTCTGTAAGTTGATTGTGATATGGAAAAACAAAAGTATATACATTTGTCAAAAGTCATTGAACTACTGAGTAGCTGTAGTTAATTTTACATAAATTATTACCACAATTGATAAAAAGAATACCTGTTGTAATTTTTAGACTAATCATGAAAAGAATTTTAAAAAGAGGAATAAAAAAAAGTGTGAACAATAGGTCTGGTTTGAACTAAATCCTAAGGCAGCATAGTGTAAGTTAAAGTGCTTGGACTTTGGTGTAGGAAATGAATGTCTGCCATTTGTTTAGCAAAATAAATTTGGGGAAATCACTTAGTTTAGTGGTTAAAGTTAAAAACTCTTAAGTCAAATTGCTAGGGATTGAATCCCAGCTCTATCATTAACTGTGTATAACCCTGGACAATTTATCTAACATCTCTGTTCTTTGTTTCTTTCAGTTATAGAATAAAAGTAAATAGAAACTACTACACAGAAAAAAATAGGATATAACTCATAAATTAGTAGAGAGGGAAAAAGGAATAATAAAAATTACTCAACCAAACAGAAGATGACGAAAAGGAACATAGTAAAGGTGGAACAAATAAGCAATAAAATGATGGCAGATTTAAACTCAGTCTGCATCTACGCTATAGTAGTCTACAATGAGAGGGACATTTCTGGGAACATTTGATGATAGACAGTTAAAATGTATGGATTGAGCACTTGCATTTATCCCCCCCACTTTACTAATATGTTAGCATATGGTCTTTAAAAACACACACACAAGATAATAAAATCGACAAGCACAAAAAGAATGGGGGAAAGAACAACAGCAGATGAGAACTGTCAAAATTTTGGAGAATGGAAGTAGATGGATGAACAAATCAGAGAAAGCTAAAACAAGTCTGCAAAAAGAGCCAGTAAAAACTAGCTGATTCACATTAGACTTCTAGAAAGGCTTAGGAGAATATAGGTACTTCTGAAAGGGGTGGGAGAAGAGTTGATGAGGGGTGGGTGTGGGGTAGACCTGAATGTTGGATTAGCTGAAAAATCTGTAAAAGGGGCAGTTAGATCTTGCCAGATCTCCTCACTACTCCTTGTAGATTTACCATCTCAAGAAATTGAACTAAGGAGATCTGGACTTGGGGATATAAGGCACCAATGAGGGCAGGACCAAGTGCTATTATGAAAATGGGCGTTAAAATGGAACTCTACATACTAAATGGTGAGACACTATTTCTCTTCTCGGGCCTGATAAAGAAGAAAGGAGAAGCTGGTACAAATTACTGGAATCTAGTGTCTTCCAGAGGGGGCTGAGAGAAAGTCCAATAAAAACACCTTTAGCCACTCCATCCTTTCAGTAGGAAATTGAAAAAAATGTTTTCATGAAATCAAAATGATTTCATGAAATCAATGGCCCTGCCGCTTTCCACTCTCCTCACATTTCAGAACACTAGGAATCAAGTTTATATTAGAATCTTGCTGCTCAGATTGTTGGCCAAGAACCAATAGCATTCTCTGGAAGCTGATTAGAAATACAGAACCTCAGGCCCCACTCTAGACCTACCGAACTGAAACCTGGATTACAGGTTATTAGAGAATTCCAGAATTCCTCTCTGGAAGTGGAGAAAAGACCTATTTATAAAAATTGATGAAGGAACATCCCCAATAAAACATCCAGCTTGCCACCTTTTGCCTTACATGGAAGCCCCCCA